GTAGACCAAACTTGTAAAGTTAGTGAATGTTCTGTTGCTTTCACTAATGAAACCCAGTCTGTGGTGGGCATCCCTGATCACATCAAGAACATTGACTTAAAGGGGTTAGCACCAGAACAAAGATCAGTTGTGCTAAGGATGTTAGCTCAAGAAGCTGACGCATTTTCACAGAATGACGACGACATTGGATGTATCCCAGATCTGAAAGTAACAACCAAATTGAACGACGAGACACCAGTACAAAAGAATTACATGGCAGTGCCAAGACCGCTAGTTTTTCCTGAGGTTAAAAGTTATGTTGAAGATCTGGTGAATAAGAACTATATCAGGATCTCAACATCCCCCTACAGTTCGCCTGTAGTGTTACGCTTCGGCCCTGCATCGACTATCGAGAACTAAATAAGATCGCCACCCTATACTCAGGATCCAAAAGACACTTGACAGTCTTGGGGGAAATTCGTGGCTCTCGGTATTGAACCAAGGAAAAACATATTTTCAAAGTTTTATGAATGAGGAGAGGCAAGCCCTAACTGCCTTTATTAACCCTTGGGGGTTATATGAATGGGTTAGAAGGATTCAAAGATTCATAGAAAACTGTTTAGATGACTTGCGCGACACAATATGTATCCAGTATCATGATGACGTTATCGTATTTAGTGCCACGTTTGAGGATATCATGTGGAACATCTTAGGAAGGTATTTCAGCGTTTAAGGGAAAATGAAGTAAAGCTAAAACCCCAAAAGTGTAAGGGACCGGTCATTATTTATGGCGGGGGGTGGCACCGAAGAGAAAAGGGTTGGGTAAACAAAATTTTGAGTAAGTAAAAGGTTGGGTAAATGAAAAACGAAACAAGTCAAAGGTTGGGTAATAAAAATTTCTTGTCATTTCCAAAGCATGACTCGCTCAAATATTGAAGACTAAAAACTTCAATGTTAACAGTCATATGTCAATACAATATGTGAATCAATCATGAAACTTTAGACTGCAGAAAAGTCAGTAAATTTCACAAGCCGAGCGTTAACAAACTATCAAACATTCACAAGCTGAACGTTATCAAACGTATCACAGAAGTGGTAAAGGACATGTGTGACAACTGAATGACATCCCTTTGTAAAGTGTTTGGCCAGGGGTGGGTATTTATTTTTTAAATGATACTTGAGGTTGGGTAATCAAATTTTTTATTTTTTAATGGTTGGGTCAGCAAAATTTTTGCCACGAGAAACATTTCTCTTCGGTGCCACCCCCGACCATAAATAATGACCGGTCCCTAAGTTGTCCGAGAGAAAAGTAGTGTTTTTGAGACATATTGTTTTAGAAAGCGGTTATCGAATGGATCCTGCAAGAGTAAAGTTTATTCACTATTTGAATGTGTCCCCTCTAAAAACCGATGGTGATGTTAGGGGTCTAATGGGACTGCTAAATTCCTATCGGAGATGCATTCCAAATTTCTCTAGAAAAGCGAAACCAATATATATGATCTAATTAAGAGTGACGGTGTAGAGACAGGAAATAGCAAAGGTAATATGAAATCGAAAGGACAGTTATCTTCTAGTACTATTGTGCAATGGACTAAACTATCATCAACTCATTCTTGAAAACCTGTTAGATAATTTGGTTGATCCACCTGTGATGGCTTACCCAGATTTTACCAAACCGTTTATTGTATGCATTGACGCGTCTGAAGAGGGACTGGGAGCCGTATTGTACCAAAGTCAAAACGGTGAAACAAGAGTTGTCGCGTATGCTTCTCAAAGCTTGACACCCGCCGAAAGAAATTAGCATCACCATTCGGGCAAGTTGGAATTCCTTGCACTAAAGTGGGCGATCTGTGAACATTCTCGAAACTATTTGTATTATGCCTCGTAATTTACAGTCTATACTGACAACAACGCACGTACATCTTGTCTTCCGCAAAACTTATAGGGGTTTACGTTGGGTCGGAGAACTGGCAGATTTCAATTTCACTATCAAATACCGCCCCGGTAAAGTGAACACTGATGCAGACGCGCTGTCAAGTTTTTACCAAATGTCGATAGTTAAATGGAGTTGTGCACCGAGAAAATTGCAATGGATACTGTCCAAGCAGTGGAATCATCACTTTTGGAACAGCAAGAGAGTAACATCAGCTGGATCACAGCTTTTACTGCAAATCAGGATGTGTTAGAAGAAGATATGAAGCACATTAACAATGTTTCCACGAACACCATTTCTTGTGACGAGATTGCACTTGCCCAAAGAGACGACACAGCAATTAGCAAAGTGATCATATGGATTGAATCGAAAGAGAGACCTACTTCGGAAAAAACATGAATGATAAATCACGCTATACATGGTACCTCCTGCACGAGTGGAACAAGTTGGAATTGGACAAACATGGATTACTTCGGAGAAAAAGTAGTTTGAAGAATCTAAAAGCTCCCTAAAAGCTCCATTACCTAAAAGCTCCATTGGTTGGTGTACGACAAACTTCACGAGAAAATGGGCCACTTAGGAGCAAATAGGGCACCGGAACTTGCCCGTGCTCGGTTCTATTGGCCGCACATGCAGAGAGATGTAGAATCTTACATTTCACATAAATGTCGTTGTGTGAAGCAAAAAGTTTCTACTTTTCAAACTAGGGCACCATTACAGTCCATTACAACAACTGCTCCATTCCAGATGGTGTCTTTAGACTTTGTTTATCTTGTGAAAAGTAGTGGTGGTTACGAGTATATCTTGGTTATGATGGATCATTTTACCCGTTACGCACAAGCCTATGCAAACCCGAATTAAGTTAGCCTGCATGGCAGGCGGTACTTAGGAAACACCACCTGCTGCAAAACTGGGTGTAAATGAACTACCGCCTCTGAAGCATCAACTCTATTTATAGATGTCATTAAGTAAGTAAATATTCAAAATTAACCACTCCCAAGTTCAGTGTGACCAGATTTGGTAAAATTTCGTGAATTTTCAAGAAAATTTGTTAATGAGTTTCTTTTGGTAAAATTTTGGTAAAATCTGAAGGTTTGAATTACTAAAATAGTTGGTAAAAATGTGTGTTTCTTGTTTAATAACGGGCTCAAAGTGATAAACAGAACTGCCAAGCCTAAGAAACAAAACCTTATCATTAGCAAAAACTGCAATACGATGAAAGCAACAAGTATTTCGAGACACTTCCCACCGGGCACACGACGTTGTTTCAACGTTGAAATTTGGTAGGAAAAAGGTTGCGACGTCGACAACTCTGACCTAATATCTACGTTGTTCTGACGTTGTTTTACAAACATTGGTTCAACAGCAGCCAACAGACGTTGAATTAACGTTCATTCATGGTTAAATTTACGATGTCGATTTGCGAACCAATCTCAACGTTATTTTAACGTGGATTCAACGTTGAATTATGATTGACGAGATTGGCAACCTAATTTCAACGTTGTTTCAACGTCGAAATAGTAACGTCGATCCAATTTGCATAGTCAACCCTTTTTCAACGTCTATCCAACGTCTGGAATATACAATTACTTTATGGTTTCCGTGTTTGGATGGCCTGATCCAAACACGCGGGAATGTTGCGAGAGTTAAGAAAAGCGCGCGAAAACACGAGCCGAAGGCGAGTGATTTTGCGCGCTTTTCTTAACTCGAGCAACATTTCCAAGTGTTTGGATCAGGCCATCCTAACATGGAAACCATAAAGTGATTGCTTTATAAAATAACAACAACACGACAGTCTTCCATGTTTGGATGGCCTGATCCAAACACGGGTTTCGACCAATCAGAACACGCGTTATATACATGTTGTTTTATAAGGTCATTTCCAACGTTGATTCAACGTTGGATAAACGTCATTTTGCCCGCTGGGTTTTTGTGAATATTTTTTCTACTTTGATGACGTAACTATTGTTTTTTGGCATTATCATGACGTAATTATTTGGGAAGCCGACATTTGGTAATTTTTTTTTTAATTTAGTAAAATTTGACCAAAATTTTGGTAATGACTGCTGAAAAAATCGGACTTCGGAGTTCAGACTTCGGACTTCGGAATTCGGACTTCAGACTTCAGACATTGGTTCCGAGCTTCGCTAATAGCCAACATTGCTTTTGCGTTCCTCCTCTTAGAATCACTTTGTTTTTGCTTTATTCTTTAGTTTATACAGTTAGCTACCTTTTTAAATGCATCTGCCGGTTAAGAAACATAAAATCATAGTTAAAAATTGTCAATTAAAATACAATCAATGATGCTTTAAAATTGACGCCATATTTAAGCCGAGCAATATAAGCAAAACTTACTGAACTTCATACATAATTTTCTCTTTGGCGTAGTCTAAAATCTTTTCAATTTAGCATTATTTTACAGATAAAGCACTAAAGATACTTTTCAAGTTTGTTGCCGATTGAGAAACGTTTCGAAAAATTTTGAATTTAGTCATAACCTCAAGTGGTATATTATACTCATTAGTTTTAAGCGCGTGTTATACTTAACTTGATAAATTTACAGAATAAAGTTAATAAATTTACTGCAGTAATAAATTTATGTGGTGTTTCTACAAACAATAGTACTATTATATGTTTTATTGTTCTGCCTTTAAACCTGCAAAGAACTTTCAGAACTCACTGACACATTCCAACAGTCTGCATTTGCAATCTAAATCATTCTGACCATTTTTGACTTTAGTTTGAATAGCTTTGACTGAATATGTGCCTTAAATATTAGCCAGCTTTGCAGAAGCATTGTTGGCTATTAGCGAAGCTCGGAACCAATGTTTGAAGTCTGAAGTCTGAAGTCTGAAGTCCGAAGTCTGAATTCTGAAGTCTGAAGTCCCTTCACGGCTTCCGTAAATATAGACTAGCCCAAACCTTTCGCCGATCATAACTTCGGCCCCTTCGGACGTATCTTCTTTGTTAAATATTCTTGTTCGAATCGCTATCAAAAACACTACTTAGAGTGTTATTTTTCAGCTTGTATCTTTAAATTTGCTTCTTTTATTACGGTATTCCATTTCTGGTCTGACTTGACGTGAACTAATTTCAAAACGCAGAATTTCAAAACGTCAAAACATTTGGTTAATGATTAACATTTAACTGAATTTAGCCGTTGATTGACAACTACATAAGAATCCGTTTTTTCCGTTCACCAGTGGACGGGTAATTCAAAAACCCCTAGTTTTGCGGCAGACGGTATTTCCTTTGACTCCCAAATTTTCGCTGCCTGTAGAAATACCGCCTGCCACGCAGGCTAGAATTAAATCAGCAAAAGCAGCGGCGGAAAAGTTATATAACGACTTTATTTTGCGTTTCGGTTTTCCAGAAAAACTCCATCACGATCAAGGAGGAGAATTTGAAAATCACCTCTTCAAATTAAACAATTGGGAAAACTGTGTGGTATTGGACATTCAAGGACTACCCCGTATCATTCGCAAGGCAATGGCCAAGTGGAACGCTTCAATCGTACCCTCCTTGCCATGCTGCGTACCCTACCGAAAACGCAAAAATCACACTGGTGATTGTGCAAACCAATCAGCTTTTGCGATTTAAATAAAATGTTACATGCTTGCATATTTGTTCGTTCTCGTTCTTCGGTGCAGGTTAACTATTTAGAAAATTTACTCGTTACAACTCGTCTGTAGTCGTTTGTAGTCTTCTATACTCGTCTGCATGTTACTCGTCTGTCACTCGCGTGTAGTTTTAGAATATAGATCGTTGTGAAACTACCATATCCCAATCTCAAACATACCTGTAATAGATGAGTTTCCATTGAGCTAAATAAAAGATTTACATTTCGATACCACCATCGCTACTTTTTTGAAGTATAGTAATTGTACATATGCATGGAGACCCGGGCTTATAGCTCCAAAGCTTTCTAAACAAATACCGCTGTATTTTCTACGAAAATATATACTTAAGTCTTAAACCCTATTATTGTTCTCATTTAATTGTAGATATTAAAGTTCTCGTGACAGGAACGAATTAAAACTGACCATTGCCCTTGCCTTTGAAATCACAACACATGTGACGACCCACATCAGAAATTTATCAGACAGATTGAATTTCATGTTCTGGATCCATTATTGGCGAGAGGATTTCTCGAAGAGATTTGTTGTTTATTCGAATTTTGTGAAGGTCGTCTCTGTTCTTTCTGCTGTTTTCATAATTTCTATAAGTGATGTGTTAGGTAAGTGTAAACTACTTGAAAATGGATCTTAATAGTTTTACTACTGTCTTTCAAAATGTATATTTCTTCAGCGCGTAGCATTGCTATAAGGCCCTATAAGCTGACGCACAAATATTCGTCCAAATCAACGTTTCAGACAATTTTAAAACAAGACCGAATTAAGTTTTAACCGCCGAACAATTTTTTCTCCTTGTGACTTGTTTGCAAGGGAACTGCTACGGTGAGCTTGCTCGAATTCAACTTGTTTCATATATCCAATGGGAGCGCGACAGCCAAAATTCGGTACCTTTAAGGACAGTGCGTGAATCGCAGGTTGGTGGCAAAAACTGGTACAGCTGTGTGGTTGTTACTTCATAAGCGATCAATGTTTTGTTTCCAGTGCATATTATCACATATTTATAATTTGTCAGTCACGATTTGGAAATTAATAATATACATAAAGATATTACTCGACTGTGATTGGTTGATTTCAGTGCAGTTAATCCCAAACAGCAGTGCAATTTTCTGTAATCACAGTGCAATTTTCTGTAATCACAGTGCAATTTTTTGTAATCACAGTGCAATTTTCTGTAATCACAGTGCAAAAATCTGTAACAAACTGATCTGATTGGTGGAAAAACATTGTGATGATTAAATCAACCAATGATCAGTTTAAAGCAGTTTAGTTTTAAAGAAGTAACGGTCACAGATCGCTTCAAAACAAAACAAACATGGCAAAGCGCTACACAAAGTAAAAGTTGCCTTCGCGTGGAAAATATGGCTTTTATCTTTATTTTTAAATGGAAAAGCATTTACCTTAAACAAGACTAACAAAAAATACACAGTGGAAGCTGTTAGCGTTGTATAATGTGATAAAACCAAGCCAGGAAAACTTTGCCAGTGGAATGTTTGCTATAAAACGCGTAAGTTAAAACTACAATTGTCTCGAACATTTTTATGTAAATTATTAATAAGTAATAGCATGGTTTCTCGTGAAATTTGGATAAACATGCACTCGTGAGTTTTTCAACGATTTCGGAGTTTCTACGCTTGTGCCACAACATGCTGTGTATGAATGGACAGATTCCGAGATTGCAGAATGCTGCAAAATATACTTGACCTTCAAACTAAA